CCGGGGGCCCGATGATGTGGACGCGTAACGATCGAGTTACCGCGTCCTTCGCTTCCACACCAGGGTCCGCTGGGTGGAAGCCATTTTCCACAAGAGGGTCAATGACCGACCGTGGATGGGCGCGCATCAGAGCCGCCTTACGGGCAGCTTCAAGCTGCCGCCTCTGTGCTCCATCGAGGTCATTGGTGATTATACCACGTCTCAGGTGATGAGAGGTCAAGAGACGGACATGGGGTCCGCAAGGCGCGAGCAGGACTCGTATCACGCCGCTGGCATAGCTCGCCTTCCTCGTCATCCCATGCGGGGAAATGAGTGTCAGACCCGTGTCGACCACCTCCACATCCTCAACGAGGTTTCTCGTCACTGACAGCATGCACGGAGCGCGACGGTCGTGATCATCGAGCCTAGGATGTACATCCCTCGGTGTTGCGGACGCACTGTCCGAAATTGGGCTCTGCCCGTGTTCGCTGTCAGAACCAGCGAGACTTGGTGACTTCAGTTTCGTTGACACAGGGTTCATTGAGCACGGAAGTCGTTTTGTTCCAACGAACCAATTTGCAGTGTCTAGCGGACACGGAAGCCTCATTGAGGCATTAATTGATTGTAGCTGTAAATGCTCTCAATTTTAATTGGGGAGAGTGTAACGGGGTTACACGAATCCTGGTAACAGGTGTGTGTGTCAGACGAGATTGGCATGGTGCGACCGCACCAAACAAGAATACGGTTTGCGGCTGGGTGGCCAGGAGTTATGCATGGTTTTAGATTTTGCTATATATTTTTAGGAAAATCTATACATTCAAAGCTAGGCGGCTTTGCCGCAGAAAAAAATTGATAAAAGTCAGTTTTGGATTTTAAACGGAAGAGGTAATTAGCCTTGGGTTAAGGCAATAATTACTCTTGGAGTAAGCGAATTGTGATTCGCTAATCTCGTACTTGTTCTAAGTATAGAACGAAAGGTCGGCGATCCAAGTTACGCTACCTCAAAGCGCAAAGCTACGGCAGCCTCGCTGCAACATTGATCAAGGGCACAGGAGCAACGAAGGACTTTGGTCAAGGGCAAGTGCTTTAAGTGTGGTAAAGCCGTACATATGAAACGGATTGTCAAGAAAGTAGCTAAGAATAGGATGAAGATGCGCTTTTTGCTGTTGGGGAGAAGCAGCCAGAAGGATGGCTGATGGACAGCGGAGCGACCTCACACATGACCCCCTTTCGCGAAGATCTAAGCAAAACGTGGTCGTTAGTGCATTTTTTGAAGTAACGATCGCGTATGGAAAGAAACTATCATGATCGGCATGGGAACAGTTTACTTATATAGAAGCGGTTGCAAGCTATTTCGAATGACTAGTACCAGGACTAAATCGTCGAATTTTGTCGGTTAAATATTTTGCGGCACGAAATCTAAGGTTTCAATTTTTTTGATCATCATGCAAAATTTTAACGAATTTGCTGCGATAGCTACGGGAAGAGAGTGAGCGAGGTATACATGCCGGAAATTTAGCCGGAGATTGTACAATATGTGGATTTAAAATATTTAGGAAGTGTAGCGCGCTAGAATGGACCATCATAATCCTTATGAACTGCTAAGAACACAGCGCGCTACGATGCGCATGACAGTAACGGAGTAGCAGATGGAGCCATTATGTGGTGGATGCATGAAGGTAAAGCAAACGTTCGATCAGTTTCCATCGCGATCATTTTTAAGACATTACGCTCACTCGAGCTTGTCCACATGGACGTGATGGGTCTCATGAGATCGAGTCGAAGGGTGTATGTGCTTACATTTGTGGATGACCATTTACGTTTTGTGGTCGTGTGCTTTCTCAAAAAGATCGAGGTTGCGAAAATATTCAAGATTCAAAAGACGCTGTATAAAAGTTATTGGGAAAATCGCATTAATTACTTGCGCTCGGACAATGGTCGGGAGTTTGTCAACAAGACTTTAGATGGTATTTGCGAGCTGGGGGGTATTATATACCAGAAGACTGCGCCCCACAGTCCACAGAAGAAAGGATTCGCAGAGCAAATGAACCGGGCCATTATGGAGGAGGCCAGAAGCATGCTACACTACATTGGGGTGTCAGCGGAATGGTGGGTCGAAGCTGTCAGCACGGCACTTTTACGTCATCAACAGAAAAAC